GACCAACCGACCAACCAACCAACTAACTGACCGACAAATCAACTAACTATCCGACCGACCAACCAACTGACAGATCAACTATCCTACCGACCAACCAAGTAACTGACCGACCAATCAACTAACTATCCGACCGACCAACTGACCGACCAATCGACCAACCAACTAACTGACCGACCAATCAACTAACCAACTGAGAGACCGACCAACCGACCGACCAACCAACTAACTGACCGACCAATCAACTAACTATCCGACCGACCAACCAACTGACAGATCAACTATCCTACCGACCAACCAACTAACTGACCGACCAATCAACTAACTATCCGACCGACCAACTGACCGACCAATCGACCAACCAACTAACTGACCAACCAATCAACTAACCAACTGAGAGACCGACCAACCGACCGACCAACCAACTAACTGACCGACCAATCAACTAACTATCCGACCGACCAACCAACTGACAGATCAACTATCCTACCGACCAACCAACTAACTGACCGACCAATCAACTAACTATCCGACCGACCAACTGACCGACCAATCGACCAACCAACTAACTGACCGACCAATCAACTAACCAACTGAGAGACCGACCAACCGACCGACCAACCAACTAACTGACCGACCAACTGACCGACCAACGACCAACCAACTAACTGACCGACCAATCAACTAACTATCCGACCGACCAACTGACCGACCAACGACCAACCAACTAACTGACCGACCAATCAACTAACTATCCGACCGACCAACTGACCGACCAATCGACCAACCAACTAACTGACCAACCAATAAACTAACCAACTGAGAGACCGACCAACCGACCAACCAACCAACTAACTGACCGACCAATCAACTAACTATCCGACCGACCAACCAACTGACAGATCAACTATCCTACCGACCAACCAACTAACTGACCGACCAATCAACTAACTATCCGACCGACCAACTGACCGACCAATCGACCAACCAACTAACTGACCGACCAATCAACTAACCAACTGAGAGACCGACCAACCGACCGACCAACCAACTAACTGACCGACCAACTGACCGACCAACGACCAACCAACTAACTGACCGACCAATCAACTAACTATCCGACCGACCAACTGACCGACCAACGACCAACCAACTAACTGACCGACCAATCAACTAACTATCCGACCGACCAACTGACCGACCAATCGACCAACCAACTAACTGACCAACCAATAAACTAACCAACTGAGAGACCGACCAACCGACCAACCAACCAACTAACTGACCGACCAATCAACTAACTATCCGACCGACCAACCAACTGACAGATCAACTATCCTACCGACCAACCAACTAACTGACCGACCAATCAACTAACTATCCGACCGACCAACTGACCGACCAATCGACCAACCAACTAACTGACCGACCAATCAACTAACCAACTGAGAGACCGACCAACCAACTGACAGATCAACTATCCTACCGACCAATCAACTAACTTTCCGACCGACCAACTGATCGACCAACTAACCAACCGACCAACCAACTAGGGATGTCCCGATCCGTTCACGCGATCGGAAATCGGGCCCGATCACGTGGTTTCAGACTCGATCGGAATCGGACGTTACCTCCCGATCAGGAGTTAGGGGTTAATTAGGGGTAAATTAGGGGTGTAACGGTACATGTATTCGTAATTATTGAACCGTTTAGGTACGAGGCTTCCGGTTCGGACGCATACAAACCGAACGATTCCTAGGACCATTTTTCCTGCAGACAAAATCCGCGCTGGCGCGATCACCACAACGTTGCGCAACATCAAATGGCGAACGTAATGAAAGCGGAACGAAACTGCGCTTCTCATTATATTGTGCTTAACGGACCCTTTATCGGACCAGCAGCATCTGTGAAGCGCGAGATCAAGCGACACAGCGCTAAGAGATCCAGTGGAGAAAACATTTGAATTCGCCACTGAAGTAATAACATCGCTGCGAGATCTAGTGAGAAGCGTTCACATTTCTCCGTTATTAACCGTAGATCTCTATTAGATCATAAAGTGCTGACGTGGACACCAGGAGAAATATTGTGCCGTGAATGAACATGGATTTAATGTTGCACTTCAAAACTCAAATATTATATAAATATATATTTAAATGTTATTTTTAATGTGATGACCAACACATTATTTGTTCATACTTCAAAGATTACCCCCATTTATAAACCTGAAAGTTTCAAGATGTAGGAAAACTCAAACTTATTTAAAAATAGTTTTTCTTTTAATAAATAGAAATTTCTCTGGCATTTCTTTCTTTTTGCTGTATCGTATCAAACCGAACCGCAAATTTTGTGAACTGTTACACCCCTATGTATATATTCTCTTTTTTTTTTTATACACTTTTAAAACATTTTTTTTTGTTTACATGCTTTTTTGTTTACATTTTGTTTTTGTATTTTAAGTTGAGGAGCTATTTGTTTTTATATTAGACCTTTTCTATATTTACTGTTGCACTAAAGTCCAAAAGTGAAGATTTTATGTTATTTATTTCTTGATTGTTCAAGCTACCTCACAGAAGTGCTCTGTTTGTTAACATAGTTGTTGAATGCTAAAATAAGGTGAATTAAATAAAAAATAAGGAACATCCTGGATCAGCTAAATGAATAAATGTAAATGTAAAATGTAAATCTGTTTTTTCTCTCTTCTTTATTCTTTTTTTATGTATTATATAAGTATCGGATCGGGACTCGGTATCGGTAGATACTCAAAATCAAATGACTCCGACTCGGACTCGAGGGCAAAAAAACCTGATCGGGACATCCCTACAACCAACCAGAATCAAGCATTCAAAAGTGCTGTGGTATTAATTTTGCATTACTTTCTGTCAGAAACTAGGGATGAACAACTATTTAAAATTCTGCCTGATACTAATAAGCCAATGTTTATTTTCATGTTATGGTGAATAACATATGAATGTTCATTAATTAATTCTACAGTATTTGCCAAAATAAATAAATAAATTATTTTATGCAAAGTTAGGCCTTACAACAATATAGAGTATGAAAAACTGATATTCATTTACCAGTGTTATTAAATTACAAATGTATTTCAAGATGAACTTAAATTGAGCATTAGATAAAAGCAAAGTACATCTAAATGTGAAAACAGGGGAAATGAGCAGAGGCAATTAAATATCCATTATTAGCTGATATATATCCAATATCAAGTGATGCCAACATATAAAAAAACATTTCTAATAGCGGCCCATAAGCAACACGATGCTGACCCTAACCCGAACCCGAATCATCTCAAACTCCTCGTCAGCAGTGAGTCTGTTTGATTACTAGGGTTGAAGTCTTTAGAGCTGCGGATTAGACTGAAGCGCTTCAAATACTATTGCATGCAAAAATAAGAGTTCCAGCATGTTTTCTGCATATTTGTGCATTAACATCACAGTTTTCTCCTGAAGCTCCACTCATCGATAGCGCTTACATCACCCCAGCACAATTACTGACAGAAACAGGCCATCAAACTCAGCTGAAGCATCACTTCAAGACCATTATAACCAGCGCTCCTGAAACTGCATATATCCGTCAATCGTCTGTGTGTTTCGTTAACACCCGTAAACACAAGGTCAGGCTCACATGCAGTGGAAGCTTGAAGCCACAACAAATGAATCTAAACAAAGGATTTTGCCAGCAAAAAGTGACAATGCCCGTAATAAATCAGATCAACATAGTTTGCGTAGCATCACATTTGCTGTGCATTGACTAGGTTGCAAAACACTGAAAAGAAGTTCCAATAACGTTGAGGCGACTGACTGAGCGCTGGTGTTGGCACGTGCTGTGTGTGTTCTGCGGCTCCCTGTAAAGTGTGTGACCGTGTGTGTGCGGCTTCAGCGTGCTGAGATGGGCACTAAACATTCAGACGGCTGTAAATCAAAGCAGGCTTTCGGTCCAAAGCACATAGCTTGTTTTTCCATCGCCATTGAGCTCATTTTATGTCTATGTAAAATTTTATTTGTTTTTCCTTTGGAAAAGATACTTAGCCAGATTTAAGTTCGGGCTCCTGTGGGAGCAGGAAAACACTCTCTATACCGGACATTATCAGAAGAGGAGAGAACAGCGGCTGGTTCTCATTTACGGTTTTGCAGTAAAAACTGAGATATTAATTAAATCAAAAAGGTCTGTCCTGGACTATTATGCATAAATTGTCAATTTAATTGAATTAAAATAATAATGTAATTTAAAAAAATATATCATTTTTCACAATCCATTATTTTAAGGCAGTTATATATTTCTGTGTTAAATGCATACACTACAAAAAATGATGTTCTTCCTCAGTGTTTCTGTCTTGTTTTCCAGCACAAATATCTAAACATTCTTAAATTAAGATACATTTAATGGAGAAGCAACATGACTGAATATATTAAAATATTAAAATCAATCAAAATGAAGTGAGTTTGTGCTTAAAACAAAAACTAATATCTGTCAGTGGAGTCAGAAAAATAATCTAGTTTTCCCTTTGAATGAAGTTTATTTTTCTGACTGTTTATTTTAAGAATGTTTTGATATTTGTGCTGGAAAACAAGACAGAAACACTGAGGAAAAACATCATTTTTGAATCTCATCCTTAAAATGACTATTGTATGTGTGATTATGATTGTATATTGATTGTATATGTAGAAAGTCAAGTTCATCCTTCATCTTTAAATCTATTGATATTTGCTATTATTGTTGAGGAAGGCAGCAGGATCAATGCTGAGATCACATGACCAGCCCTCAGTGAGTTCCCGTGTGTCACGTGACATGCAGCTGTGTGTGTGTGTGTGTGTGTGTGTGTGTGTGTGTGTGTCTACGTGCCGTGCTGGTGAAGCTGATGAGGAAGGTGTGTGTGTGTGTGTGTGTGTGTCTGTGTGTGTGTGTGTGTGTGCACGTACCGTGCTGGTGAAGCTGATGAGGAAGGTGTGTGTGTGTGTGTGTGTGTCTGTGTGTGTGTGTGCACGTACCGTGCTGGTGAAGCTGATGATGAAGGTGTCGTACTGCACGGCTGCTGGAGTCCAGGACAGTGTGACGGAGGACTCAGAGATGTTTCTGGTGCTGAGACGAGACACGGCCGACAGCGCTGGAGAAAACACACACACATACACACTTACTCTTACATTCAAAGCAGCAACTGCAGTGCTGTGTGTCCCGTTACTGCTGTATTCATTCCCCAACAGCTCTAATACAGACACACCGCATGTGCAGGCTATTTCATATGGAATATAAAGGCGCTATTTAAAGTGTCTGTAAAGCTGATCTATCTACGGCTTTAAACTCTTAAAGGCTGTGAAAGACTAAAACATTTATTCCGGAAATAAGACGAGGAGTTTGAAATATTCAATGTGGCGGAAAACCTGTCATGACAGAAAGTAATGTTATATGGTGCGATTGACTTGTATAATCAGAATAATAAAGAATTTTCAAAAGTTCATAGAGCATAAACAAGGTGGCGCCAGAGAGTTCCAGCTAGAGGCTTCGTGTTCGCTGTGGTTGATGTCCAGACGGTCCTCTATCTGTGTGCTTTACATACAGTGCATCCGAAAGTATTAACAGCGTTTTCCCCCCCCACATTTTGTTATGTTACAGGACTACTGGACTATTGTAATGCTCTCCTGGCTGGTCTTCCAGCATCAGTCAAACCTCTGCAACTGATCCAGATGCTGCAGCTAGAATGGTCTTTATCGAGCCGAAGAGACACACGTCACTGCTCTCCTCGCCTTATTCCAAAATGCATTAAATTAATTATTTTCCTCAAAACTCTACAAGCAATACCCCATAATGACAATGTGAAAGAAGTTTGTTAGAAATCTTTGCAAATTTATTAAAAATAAAAACCGAAAAAAATCACATGTACATAAGTATTCACAGCCTTTGCTCAATACTTTGTTGAAGCACCTTTGACACCAATTACAGCCTCAAGTCTCTTTGAGTGTGATGCTGCAAGCTTGGCACACCTATTTTTGGGCAGTTTCTCCTATTCTTGTTTGCAGGATCTCTCAAGCTCCATCAGGTTGGATGTGGAGCGTCGGAGCACAGCCATTTTCAGATCTCTCCAGAGATGTTCAATCGGGTTTGAGTCTGGGCTCTGGCTGGGTCACTCAAAGACATTCACAGAGCTGTCCCGTAGCCACTCCTGTGTTATCTTGGCTGTGTGCTGAGGGTCGTTGTCCTGTTGGAAGATGAACCGTCGCCACAGTCTGAGATCCTGACGAGTCTCCCAGTTCCTCATCTTTCCCTCGACCCTGACGAGTCTCCCAGTTCCTCATCTTTCCCTCGACGCTGACGAGTCTCCCAGTTCCTCATCTTTCCCTCGACCCTGACGAGTCTCCCGGTTCCTCATCTTTCCCTCGACCCTGACGAGTCTCCCAGTTCCTCATCTTTCCCTCGACGCTGACGAGTCTCCCAGTTCCTCATCTTTCCCTCGACCCTGACGAGTCTCCCGGTTCCTCATCCATCCCTCGATCCTGACGAGTCTCCCAGTTCCTCATCTTTCCCTCGACGCTGACGAGTCTCCCAGTTCCTCATCTTTCCCTCGACCCTGACGAGTCTCCCAGTTCCTCATCTTTCCCTCGATCCTGACGAGTCTCCCAGTTCCTCATCTTTCCCTCGACGCTGACGAGTCTCCCAGTTCCTCATCTTTCCCTCGACCCTGACGAGTCTCCCGGTTCCTCATCTTTCCCTCGATCCTGACGAGTCTCCCAGTTCCTCATCTTTCCCTCGATCCTGACGAGTCTCCCAGTTCCTCATATTTCCCTCGACGCTGACGAGTCTCCCAGTTCCTCATCTTTCCCTCGACCCTGACGAGTCTCCCAGTTCCTCATCTTTCCCTCGATCCTGACAAGTCTCCCAATTCCTCATCTTTCCCTTGATCCTGACTAGTCTCCCGGTTCCTCATCTTTCCCTCGACGCTGACGAGTCTCCCAGTTCCTCATCTTTCCCTCGACGCTGACGAGTCTCCCAATTCCTCATCTTTCCCTCGATCCTGACTAGTCTCCCGGTTCCTCATCTTTCCCTCAATCCTGACGAGTCTCCCAGTTCATCTTTCCCTCGATCCTGACGAGTCTCCCAATTCCTCATCTTTCCCTCGATCCTGACTAGTCTCCCGGTTCCTCATCTTTCCCTCGATCCTGACGAGTCTCCCAGTTCCTCATCTTTCCCTCGATCCTGACTAGTCTCCCAGTTCCTCATCTTTCCCTCGACCCTGACGAGTCTCCCGGTTCCTCATCTTTCCCTCGACCCTGACGAGTCTCCCAGTTCCTCATCTTTCCCTCGATCCTGACGAGTCTCGCAGTTCCTCATCTTTCCCTCGATCCTGACGAGTCTCCCAGTTCCTCATCTTTCCCTCGATCCTGACAGTTCCTCATCTTTCCCTCGATCCTGACGAGTCTCCCAGTTCCTCATCTTTCCCTCGATCCTGACGAGTCTCCCAGTTCCTCATCTTTCCCTCGATCCTGACAAGTCTCCCAGTTCCTCATCTTTCCCTCGATCCTGACGAGTCTCCCGGTTCCTCATCTTTCCCTCGACCCTGACGAGTCTCCCAGTTCCTCATCTTTCCCTCGATCCTGACGAGTCTCGCAGTTCCTCATCTTTCCCTCGATCCTGACGAGTCTCCCAGTTCCTCATCTTTCCCTCGATCCTGACGAGTCTCCCAGTTCCTCATCTTTCCCTCGATCCTGACGAGTCTCCCAGTTCCTCATCTTTCCCTCGATCCTGACGAGTCTCCCAGTTCCTCATCTTTCCCTCGACGCTGACGAGTCTCCCAGTTCCTCATCTTTCCCTCGATCCTGACTAGTCTCCCGGTTCCTCATCTTTCCCTCGATCCTGACTAGTCTCCCAGTTCCTCATCTTTCCCTCGATCCTGACAAGTCTCCCAATTCCTCATCTTTCCCTCGATCCTGACTAGTCTCCCGGTTCCTCATCTTTCCCTCGATCCTGACGAGTCTCCCAGTTCCTCATCTTTCCCTCAATCCTGACTAGTCTCCCAGTTCCTCATCTTTCCCTCGATCCTGACGAGTCTCCCAATTCCTCATCTTTCCCTCGATCCTGACTAGTCTCCCAGTTCCTCATCTTTCCCTCAATCCTGACGAGTCTCCCAGTTCCTCATCTTTCCTTTGATCCTGACGAGTCTCCCAATTCCTCATCTTTCCCTCGATCCTGACTAGTCTCCCAGTTCCTCATCTTTCCCTCAATCCTGACTAGTCTCCCAGTTCCTCATCTTTCCCTCGATCCTGACGAGTCTCCCAATTCCTCATCTTTCCCTCGATCCTGACGAGTCTCCCAATTCCTCATCTTTCCCTCGATCCTGACGAGTCTCCCAGTTCCTCATCTTTCCCTCGACCCTGACGAGTCTCCCAGTTCCTCATCTTTCCCTCGATCCTGACGAGTCTCCCAGTTCCTCATCTTTTCCTCGATCCTGACGAGTCTCCCAGTTCCTCATCTTTCCCTCGATCCTGACTAGTCTCCCAGTTCCTCATCTTTCCCTCGATCCTGACTAGTCTCCCAGTTCCTCATGGTGAGTATCATGGCAAAGGCTGTGAATACTTATGTACATGTGATTTTTGTTTTTTATTTTTAACAAATTTGCAAAGATTTCAAACAAACTTCTTTCACGTTGTCAGTATGGGGAAAATAATTAATTTAATCCATTTTGGAATAAGGCTGTAACATAACAAATTGTGGAAAAAGTGAAGTGCTGTGAATACTTTCAGGATGCACTCTATGTACCTTTATACTTACTAGTTGTTTTTAAAATGTGCACCATTCAAAAAGTAATGTTCCAGTAATTTTTGTAAAATGATCAAATGAAAAATCCCACACAGATTTTTTTTTTTTTTTTTGAAAATGTTATTTCTGAGCAGGCCTCTGTCTGGCCAGACACACTGAGAGATTTTGCTATAATTTCAGTACTAATACAGTAATATTCACAGTGCATCACTTACCGGTGTCACAGTTCTCCCCTGTCAACCCAGACTGGCATTCGCTGCAGTCGGCCCCCGTGAAGCCCCGTCGACACACACACCGGCCCCTCACACACCGGCCCCGGTCACTGCAGCTGTTCGGGCAGGTTTTGCTGGAGCAGTCCTGACCGGAGAAGCCCACGTCACACACACACTTCCCATCCACACACCTCCCTTTGCTATTGCAGTTACTGGGACATGCCTGGGACGAGCAGTCGGGCCCTGTGAACCCGCTCTCACACACACACTGTCCGTTCACACACCGGCCCCGATCACTGCAGTCTCCAGGACACGATCTAGACGAGCAGTCCGGACCCGTGAACCCGCTCTCACACACACACTGTCCGTTCACACACCGGCCCCGATCACTGCAGTCTCCAGGACACGATCTAGACGAGCAGTCCGGACCTGTGAACCCGCTCTCACACACACACCTGCCGTTCACACACCTGCCCCGGTCACTGCAGTCTCCAGGACACGTGCTGGACGAGCAGTCCGGACCCGTGAAGCCGCTCTCACACACACACCTGCCGTTCACACACCTGCCCCGGTCACTGCAGTCTCCAGGACACGTGCTGGACGAGCAATCCGGACCCTTGAAGCCGCTCTCACACACACACCTGCCGTTCACACACCTGCCTTTGCTATTGCAGTTACTGGGACAGGCCTGGGACGAGCAGTCCGGACCCGTGAAGCCGCTCTCACACACACACTGTCCGTTCACACACTGGCCCCGGTCACTGCAGTCTCCAGGACACGATCTGGACGAGCAGTCCTGACCTGTGAACCCGCTCTCACACACACACTTTCCATCGACACACTGTCCTCGTTTGCTGCAGTCATCAGGACATGTTTTCACAGAGCAGTCCTGACCCGCGAATCCAGAGTCACACACACACTTCCCATTCACACACCGGCCGCGGTTGTTGCAGTTCTCCGGACATGTTTTCCCAGAGCAGTCCGGCCCAGAGAAGCCCGGGTCACACACACACTGTCCGTTCACACACCGGCCCCTGTTACTGCAGTCTCCAGGACAGTCCGGGACACTGCAGTCAGGCCCGCTGAATCCTGGGAAACACACACACTTCCCGTCCACACACCGGCCCTGGTCACTGCAGTCATCGGGACACTCGTCAGTCTCGGGACGACCGGTGGTGCAGACCAAACCTGTGGAGCAACAACAGAACCAATGCTGAATAATTAATGAATCTGGAATCCTATTCTGAAAAGTAAACAAAAAACCCCCCCAGGAAAGTCAGTTTATCTGGGAGGATATCATTTGATTAGAACTGAATATCTCCTTTAGGGATCCTTTAGGATTGGATTCCTTGACGGTCTTCGCAAACATGATCATATTACACCAATCCCAGCATTACTTCACTGGCTGCCGGTTCACTTTAAGGTTCTCCTAATTCTCCTATTTGTTTACAAGTGCTTAAATAACCTGGCTCCCCCCTACCTCTCTGAGCTTTTAGTGCAATACAATCCTTCCAGAGGTCTTAGATCAGGGACACAGAACCTTTTATCTATCCCACAGTTCAGACTAAAACAAAAGAGGTCATGATGCCTTTGCTATTGCGGGCTCTAAATTATGGAATATTTTGCCATTTCAGGTTAGATCTGCACCTGACTTGTCAATTTTCAAGTCACAGCTGAAAAACTACTTTTACTCACTTGCTTTTAATAATCAGTAATTTGGGCAATGTTTTTAGGTTTGTATTTTAGGAATTTTGTCTGTTTTAATTTCTACGTGTCTCTTCTCCATGTCTGACGTGTTCTTGTTTTATTATGTTTTGTAAAGCATGTTGGTCAGCTTCGGCTGTATAAATTGTGCTATATAAATAAACTTTGACTACAGTTACAGCTCTGATGGAAAGGTCTGGGATGGGTCTGAGATAGGTCTGAGATAGGTCTGAGATTGGTCTGGGATCGGTCTGAGATCGGTCTTAGATCGGTCTGGGATCGGTCTGAAATAGGTCTGAGATAGGTCTGGGATAGGTCTGGGATCGGTCTGAGATGGTTCTGGGATGGGCCTGGGATGGGTCTGGAAACGGTCTGGGATGGGTCTGGGATAGGTCTGGGAACGGTCTGGGAACGGTCTGGGATGGGTCTGGAATGGGTCTGGAATGGGTCTGAGATCGGTCTTGGATGGGTCTGGGATCAGTCTGACATAGGTCTAGGATGGGTCTGGGAACGGTCTGGGATGGGTCTGGGAACAGTCTGAGATAGGTCTGGGATCGGTCTGGGATCGGTCTGGGAAAGGTCTGGGAACGGTCTGGGATGGGTCTGGAATCGGCCTGGGATCGGTTTGTGGACGGTCTGGGAAAGTTCTGGGAACGGTCTGGGATGGGTCTGGGATGGGTTTGGGATGGGTCTGGTATGGGTCTGGAATCGGTCTGGGGACAGTCTGGGATGGGTCTGGGATGGGTCTGAGATAGGTCTGGGATGGGTCTAGGATGGGTCTGGGAAAGGTCTGGGAACGGTCTGGGAATGGTCTAGGATGGGTCTGGTATGGGTCTGGTATGGGTCTGGAATCGGTCTGGGATGGGTCTGGGATTGGTCTCCTTCAGGAAGGCTTCACCTTTGCTCTGCTGGGAGGAACAGCATCCATCCGGACCTCCACATTTCTCCCTTAGATCTGACACCTCCTTCTCCAGTCTTTCCATTCGCTCCCGCAACGCTGCAAAGTCCAGCTCGCACTGACAGCCAGAGCCGGTGTCCGAGCTCGAGCCGGACACCAGCCGGATCCGATGGGTCAGGACCAGAGGAGACCCAGGCTCCAGGAGCATCTCTTTCTCTCCAGACCCGTCCTGAACACATGTGTCCGAGATAATGACCTTCACCGGCTGGGATCTGAGATCCTGAGCTCCCGATGAGAGGACTGGAGGAGACAGGAGCAGGAATGCCAACACAAACACCATGTTTAAGAGGAACATCTCCAAAATCAATGGATGATGTGTTGTTCGTAAACGACAAGGTCTTTTATTATACTCAGATCAGCACTCAAAACATTTAGATTCAGTTTTTGCAGATGAACCGCTGATGTCTAACTCTTCTTCTCTTCAAGCATCTGTCCGACCTGTTTCAAACAAACAGAATATCAGGTTAGACATTCACCATATATGTGTGTACAGTTAAAGCCATCTAAACACAGCATTTGCAACCCATTTTACTTTCCAGTTTCAGGATGGTTTGAGGTGACTGTTTATGAGAGGGACTGTTGAAAGTCATTTCAGAACCGATTTCATTTTGATGAAATTTTCATTTTCATCTTTTCGATGCATGACACATAATGAGAGCAGGAACATGTATTAAAGGGGTCATATAATGGTACATGCACTTTTACAAGTTGATTGTACTGAAATGTGTGTTGGCAGTGCCTGTACACAACCATCATATAATGATAAAAATCCATCCAGTGTTTTTGTTTTAATCTCCTTATATGTTTTCCCCTGCCTCAAATTGAGCCGTTCGTTTTTGTGACGTCAATAAAACGGACGCCCCTCCCGCGATTGTTGATTGACAGCTTGTGATTCAACACAGACCCGCCCTCGCTCGTCCTGTCAATCATAGTGTGCGCGGACCGGCGCGGTCATTGTTGATATGCTGGAGCACTGTCTATGAGCAGAATGGCGTCTAAGCAATTGTGGTGTTCTGTTCTTGGGTGCAATAACGAACACAGCAGTCATTTTAATGTTCCTAAATCCGAACCGCTGAAGACGCAGTGGCTGAGTTTGTTTTCGAAGGGAATATTCCCCACGAGCAACGTCAATGCTCTCATATTTGCCGAATCATTTCTCAGTGGACTGCTTTATAAACGAGGATCAGTGTAAAGCTGGTTTTGCTGAGAAGCTGCACCTGAATAAAGGATCGGAACCTATTCGTCTTCCTGCTGAACCTTCAGAAGAACTAAAGTGAGTGTAACGTTTTATTAATCTTTATATTAATATTTATATAATCTTTGCAAATCGCCAGCTGCATGCTTCACGATGAATGCGTCGGTTTACACTCAGGGTACATTACAGCATGTTTTCTATGTACAACGTTCTCAATATAATTCATAATCCCACGTTTATAATGAACAACGCGTGGTTATTGTGTTATTGTGTTACAAACGGTGTACGCACAGAACAGAGGGGCGGAGTCAGCAAAGCTCATTATCATTTAAAGTCATATGCACTGAAACGGCGTGCTGAAAACAGAGCTGTTTTTGACCAGGTAAAATAAGTGTTTTCTTACAATACTAATGAGAATTTTTAATTAAAGTATATTACAAACTTTTAATTTAGACCCTAAAGAATCATATTAGCTTGTACAAAAATGGCATTATATGACCCCTTTAAGAGAGTAAACAGTGTCTACATTAATTCCATGATGACTTTAAATAACACTGTCTGTGACCAGAGAAGTTCCAGTGTCTGCCAGATCAAACCAAGGAAAGTAAATATCACGATCCTTTCCTGCTAAAATTAATTTAAACAGGTGAAAATGGCAGTGAGCCGCAGTTCTGATATCAGTGACTTTACCTGTGAAAATAAAGAGGGAAACAAGATTTTGATGTCACGTTAAACTATAAAACTGTTGCGTTTGGACATGATTTCACACCATACACTGCAAAACATGATGTTCTTCCTCAGTGTTTCTGTCTTGTTTTCCAGTACAAATATCTAAACATTCTTCATTCTTAAATCAAGATACATTTACTGGAGAAGCAAAATGACTGAAGATATTATGCCTTGCTTTCTGAAAAAATCATGAAAATGAAGTGAGTTTGTGCTTAAAACAAGTAGAGTCAGAATAATCATCTTGTTTTCCCTTTGAATGATTATTTTTTCTGACTCCACTGACAGATACTTGTTCTTGTTTAAAGCACAAACTCACTTCATTTTCATGATTTTTTTGATGATATTCAATCATTTTGCTTCTCCAGTAAATGTATCTTGATTTAAGAATGTTTAGATATTTGTGCTGGAAAACAAGACAGAAACACTGATGAAGAACAACATGTTTTTGCAGGACGTTTAATTGCCCTAAACACTCAAGTCTTTTTTTTCCTCCAAAGGAAGTCAAGATCAAACATCTGAGATAAAGTTGATACTCGAAATGTACTTGATAAGGTGAAATGTAAAATCTCGGTCTGGCCAGATAATTCATGTCATTGGTTGAGTCTTTCCGTACAACAGCGTTCCAGTGCTTAACCATCATATCCGGCATCTCAAACACGCTGATTTTGGGAAGTAAAAACAAAGCAGTAAGTAGCTTATATGCGTCTCTGAATCTTGAGCTGAGAAAGGAGAAAATACCACAGTGAAGTTACAGTTCCTCCTGTGTGGTTTAAGTCAGACTCATGTCACTCTTCATGGTCAGTTTAAACATCAATAAAACACACACACTTGCCTTATGGCATCTGCCTGTGCTTAGAGACGGTCGTCAGGCGCAGGTCAGATAAAGGGCAATCTGCAGGCCTTTTCTCAGTGATGATGATGATGATGATGATGGTGATGGTGAAAAACACAAGCGTGGAGCTGAAGGGGAAATATCACATTACGCCTCAGGACTGAACGAGAAGCATAAAGATATGAAGACTGCGACTGATAGATAAGGAGGAGCTGTGAGGTTTGACTTGAACTGGCAGAGGATTCATGTCTTCTGCTATTGTGATTATCACTGTTTCAAAACCATCTATAAAAGCAGCTCTTATCTCAATAGAATATTCATAAACATTAATCTGTGTGATTTCACAAACAGACAATTACATCATTTGTGTTGTTACTAAAAATGTTACAAATCATTTTTACTAATTGAAATACACGTTAATGTTTTTATCCCAAGCGACTTGCATTGCATTGAAGGTAAACAGTTGATCAGTTCATGCATTGACTCTCTCTACACTTTCACCATCCGTCGTTCTTCACACAGGAGGGTTTTACGGTTCAGCTTCTGTAAAACTGCTTTTAAACAGCATGTGTTGTGAAATACACATAAAACTGACTGGACTGTTGAATATTTCAGCGGTTGCGTCTTTGATGATTCTTCCTTCCCATCTCATCATTTCCCTTCATTAACAAACGTCATCTTCAATTTACCCTCAAATGAGCTCGATCTCTCTAATCTCCTAAAACAGTTTCTCTTCTGGACTGCTCTTTATCGTTCCAGAAGTCAGAAGCCCATACGAACAGTCTAGACAGACTGTAATAAGCTGCACATTCTGGTAATAAAAGTGTAATAGCCAGAGATCACATGATCACGATTCCCTGACGAGATGAAAACTGGGATTGAGATTCAATCCAAACCTCAGAAGAGCGTCTGCCAACTCTCTCATTTTTACCATATTACATTTATTGGTGATAACATACAGTACATATACTGCCATTTAAAAGTTTGGGTCGGTAAGATGTGTTAATGTTTCAGAAAGCTCACCAAGGCTGCATTTATTTGACAAAAAATGAAATACAGTAAAACAGTGTAATATTACTCCAGTGTAAATCAGCTGTTCTCTATGTGAATATACAGTAAAGTGTAATTTATTCCTGTGATCAAAGCTGAATGTTCAGCATCATTACTCCAGTCTTCAGTGTCACATGATCCTTCAGAAATCACTCTAATATGAGGATCTGATGCTCAAGAAACAGTTATGATTATTATCAGTGTTGAAAACAGTTTATATTTCCATGGAAACTGTAATACATTGTATTTTTCAGGATTCTTTGATGAATAGAAAGTTAAAAAGTACAACATTTATTTGAAATTTAATCTTTTGTAACATTATAAATATCTTTACCGTCACAAACTACACTGACGCCAAACTTTTGAACCAAATGTAAATTCAACACGTTTGAATAGGAGCTGCTGTGGACAGATGTGCAACTCTTAAAGATTACTGAAGTTTGTGATGTATTACCGCAGGCATCAGAGGGTTAATATCAAGTGCAAGTATTATTAGATGATGGACAGAGTAGAAGGTTTTACCTGCAGATCCGCTGATGCTTCTTCACACACTCCTGTCAGACGCTGTTCCTCACGGATCTGGGAAACTCCTGACTGACGGGGAAGAAGAGGAGAGAGAAAGAACAGAGAGAGAGAGAGAGAGGAGAGAGAGGGAGAGAGAGAGGGAGAGAGAGAGAGAGAGAGAGAGAGAGGAGAGAGAGAGAGAGAGAGAGAGAGAGAGAGAGAGAGAGAGAGAGAGAGAGAGAGAGAGAGAGAGAGGAGAGAGAGAGAGGGAGAAAGAGGAGAGAGAAAGCAGTAAAATTTCCTCATACTTTAAGAATGTTTCCTCTCTCTCTCTCTCTCTCTCTCTCTCTCTCTCTCTCTCTCTCTCTCTCTCTCTCTCTTCTCCTCCTCCTCTCTCTCTCTCTCTCTCTCTCTCTCTCTCTCTCTCTCTCTCTCTCTCTCTCTTCTCCTCCTCCTCCTCTCTCTCTCTCCTCAGCTTCACTGATGTAATTCTATGTGCTTTACTGGTCCCTGCTGGGCGGATCATTTCGATGGAAAACATCTGATTTTTTAGATATTTTGAATGACCAGTCGAATGTTTTATGCCTTTGAACTCATGTCTGGATATTCCTCCATCGCTTGGCCTTTTAAAATCCTATTTGTGTGTTAATTTACCGTCGTCTCACATGAACACACGGTCCTGATTATTCCTGATCTCAGTTTGCTTCAGGACAGAAACATCTTTCAATATTTACTTGTTCCTTTTAAACTGCAGCTGTGTGAACAAAATGGCAAATAAATACATAATAATCTGCCATGAAAAAATCAATCTCACGCCACACCACGACAGAATCACAACGCTGCAGAATATGTGTATAACACTCATTTAAATTATTTAAATACATCATTAACAATAATGCATTTAAAAGTGCAGCACATCCATTGCAAAAAAATAAATAAAAGTTTTCTTAATTAGTCTTGTTTTCCAGCACAAATATCTAAACATTCTTAAATCAAGATACATTTACTAGAGAAGCAAAATGACTGAAGATATTAAGATATTAAAATTAATCAAAATGAAGTGAGTTTGTGCTTAAAACAAGAACTAATATCTGTCAGTGGAGTCAGAAAAATCATCTATTTTTCTCTTTGAATTAAGTTTATTTTTGTGACTCCGCCGCTGACAGATATTAGTTCTGGTTTTAAACACAAACTCACTTCATTTTCATGTTTTTTTTTTCAGTAAACAAGACTTAATATCTTCAGTCATTTTGCTTCTCCAGTAAACGTATCCTGATTTAAGAATGTTTAGATATTTGTGCTGGAAAACTAAATACTGAGGAAGAGCATCAGTTTTTGCAGTTTGAGTATTTTTCGATCATGTTCTATAAAGTGCTAAAATCAAATCCTCACATTCACACATTTGTCAGAGCCTTTTATCAAAAGTGACTTGCAGCATATTAAACTATATTCTTCCTCTCCCTGTAGATCTCTAACAACTTGTATCTGTAGTTTAGTTTGCTTACCTGTGTTTAGTTGCCATAGTTACCCATGTGTTGTTACTCATTAGTTCCACCTGTTCCTTGTTTTCTCCCTCGTTCAGTGTATGTCCATGTCAGGTTTGGTTTGGGGCACTTTCTTGTTTTTCAGAGTTGTTGTTTTTCTTCATTTACTAAATATACTGCTTTGCAAATAGACCCAGACTTCAGCTGTCCGTAAGAGTCACATCAGTTTATAAATCTTTCCATCCTCTTTCTTCTCTTCACTCAGTTTCTCTCCTTCATCTTTCCCACACGCAGACTCTTTTCTCAATGGCAGCTTCTTCATCTGAGTCTGACGTCAGTCACTGATGCTCATTTACACCTACAGAACGAGTGAAAGGTCAGGGTTTCAATGGCGGTCAGTGTTCCGAAGTTTCAACACTTTCCTGAATCCCGGTGTAATGTGTGACTCAGCAATAATCCATCCGTCGACAGGAAACATTGATCCGTCCGTCTGAGCGGTTACAACTGTTTATCTTTCACACAATAAAGTTTTCTGTTAGAGCGGTGTCGTGTTAGCGCCCCTAAGTTAACAACTAATGATCTTTACAACGGAAGTGAATCAATCAAAACTAACTTTATCTGGACAATAACTTTATTCTAGAGCTGCTGTAAAGCCTAAACACTGTTACTGTAATCTCCTGTTATCACTGTATAAATGCAGGAGACTCGACATACAATGTACGATCCGTTTACATAACTCTGAAAAATAAAGCTTCCAAAAGGGGGTTTTCCATGTTATTCTCAGTGAACATTATAATAATCTTAAAAACCTTCTCCACTATAATGAACCTGGAAAGGTTCTGTGGATGTTAGAGGTTCTCAATGGAACCATCAGCCAAGTCAAGTCATCTTCATTTATATAGCGCTTTTAACAATGTAGATTGTTCCAAAGCTGCTTTACAGTGATAACAGGAGATTACAGTAACAGAGTGTTTAGGCTTTACAGCAGCTCTAGAATAAAGTTATTGTCCAGTTAAAGTTAGTTTTGATTGATTCACTTCCGTCGCAACAATCATCAGTTATCAACTTAGGGGCCGCTAACACGACACCGCTCTACAGAACACTCTTAAAGGAGTCATAATGTAGTATTAACTTTGATACCCACGCTCTATTATAGTCATTTCATGCCCTTCTAAAAAAGAAAAATTGGAAAAAAATCAACACAGAGCTCGTTTGACCCTTATTTCTGAATGCATTATTGTCTCGCGAGATCTGATTCGAGGTTTTGGCTGTCGTGGACGGTCATTTTAATAATGCAAATGAGGGGCGCGTTGATTGGTGGCAGGAAGGAGGGGGCTTGACACCGCAGGTAACTTCAGCATTCCAAAAAGAGATCATGGCGCAAGTTGTTAATGAACCCGACCTGGCCGCGACCTACGGGATTAAACCATATATGTTTGAGCCAGACTCTGAACCAGAGCTGGAAACGGAAGAGGAACAACAGTCAATTGAAGGACGTCTACATCAACATGTCTCTGAATGGTAAAGACAATTTTTTTGACTGAGACATACATTAACATCAGTAACGAGCTAAAACATTTTTTTGCTATTTTCTCCCACATGAGTTTAGCTTTAATTTAATGTAGATTACATTAACGGAGATGTAGTCTACTTTATTTTCAGCTTACAGTGGTTATAGAGATTAACGTTTGCTATAATGTGTTGTTTTTGTCTTTTTTGACGTTGTGTTTTTTTTAGATATTTAATAATTTTCATCTGCAGACATGTAACGTTATGTTTTTCTTTATGTTTATTAATTCTTGACTGTTTTTTAAATTTATCTATCCTTATCACATACATTAACCGCATTAGTAGTTAGCTGCTGTTTGTTACACAAAATATAGTAATAAAAACACAGTCTTACCGTTTCAAATTCAGGCAAGTCCCTGATTGTTGGAATGGCACCTTTTTCCAAACGTAGCTTCGATGCCAACTTCACCTGATATTGCCCCAAATTTGTAAAAGATTCTTTTGTGAAATGTTTAGCGCAGTCACCTAACGTTGAGCAAGTTGAGATGGTTGTTGGAACAGCGTCATTAAAAATAAATTTCTTCCACTTGTCACTTGTAGTTTGGTCAGTTTTGGGTAAAGAAAAAAACATTAGAATGTGGATTATGACAGTCAACCACAGAGCAACTCACGTGTGCACTACGTTTCTGCATCTTTCTTGACTGAATATGATGGGGAGAGGGGCAGGGCGGGCCTCCTCTGCGGTGTCCATATATGGTATATCCGGCCCCGTCTTGACGTCGAGTTGGGGGAGAAATTGAAATCTCGTATTTGAGTGCGCGTGCACGTTGGCTAGTTTAAGAACCCTGGGGTAAACAAACGCTTCACTTTTGAATATCGGCATCCCGGCAAATGTATAATCATTAGTCAATCATAACATACATTGATTCTCATGGAAAAGTGAAGATTGCACATTATGACTCCTTTAAGTTCTCTCTACGCAAACTTTAAAAACGTGAGCCTGTGAGAACGCTGATGGCGCGCACATGCGCATTAAGAGTTCATTCTATAGGGATGCGCGTTTGAATATGTGTGCGTAGGCATGTAGTCCTTCCCTAAAAAAACAACCCTCAACAAACTACTTGTCTGGCCTTAAGATTTATAATACAGAATTTTATCGCTTCGGCGTGGCCACGCGAACCGGCATTATCCCGACAGCGATTATCTGTACAGAGGAGAAGGGAAGGAGGCCTTCACAGGGAGAGACCAGTGACACTTCAGGACTGCGGTGCCGTCATGTCCAGACGCAGGTCCTTCATCAGATCTGGATACGGCCTGGATCCGGTGGACTGCGGTAAACCTCGGGATAAACAGAGAGACTAATATTAGCGTAGATGCCATTCTTCTTATGATGTAACGAGTACATCAGGATTTATGGGAAGTGTTCCCGGTTCCGGCTGACCTAATCTATGCAGCCTAACATTGAATTATAGAAGTCTATAGTGTATTATGTGTATGCTAGGTCAAAGAGATGTGTTTTTAGTCTAGCTTTGAACTGACAGAGTGTGTCTGTTTCCCGGACAATGGTAGGAAGACTGTTCCAGAGTTTTGGTGCTAAATAGGAAAAGGATCTCCCGCCTGCAGTCGATTTAGATATTCTAGGTATTATCAACTGGCCGGAGTTTCGAGATCGCAATAGACGTGAAGGACTATAATGCGTTGAGAGCTCGCTCAAGTACTGGGAGATAAACCATTTAGTGCTTTGTAGGTAATCAGCAATATTTTAAAATGTATACGATGTTTAATAGGTGTTGACAGTGTGTCAGAGATCAATCAAGCTTGATTCCATCCACCATACAACGATCACTCTCTCCGGATTACTAATCACACACACCTGTTCACCATCAACAGCCTCATCAACAAGCACTATAAAACACTCACCATAGCCCCAGTTCAGTGTCAAACCTCCAACAGGAACAGACCATTATCCATCGTCTCCTGAAATCCCTGATGCACCAAGTACCTGAGAAGTAACATTTACTCACCGGTGAATTACTAACCTGTGTATCCTTGTTCCACTGTTTCCAGAAAGCCTGCCTGAATCCATGTTTCCCGAGATCCGGTATCGACATGAGTTCCCTGTGTTCATGCTGAGTTTACTTGCTCGTGACTGCATCTGTAAGAGAAAAGACAAGTATCAATGAACTGTGATTGCTTGACCTCGATTAGCCTGAAGAGGACCTGCTCACCTGTAATCTGCCCCGCACGTTGTGCTTCTCACCGAATCTGCACCTGAACTTTGAAAACTCACCTTTGCACGTGTGTCACTTTAAATAAAACTGTGTTTGGATCCACTTACCTTTGTTTCCGTGCCTTTATCCTGACACAGTGTTAACGCAGCAGTGTTGACAGACCCGGGCTAATATGGTCATACTTCCTGGTTCTGGTAAGAACTCGAGCGGCTGCGTTTTGGACCAGCTGGAGTTTGTTTATTAAGCGTGCAGGGCAACCACCCAATAGAGCATTACAGTAATCTAGCCTTGATGTCATGAACGCATTAACTAACTGTTCCGCATTTGTCAATGAGAGCATATGACGTAATTTAGATATATTTTTAAGATGGAAGAATGCGGTTTTACAGATACTAGTCATGTGACTTTCAAATGAAAGCTTGGTATCAAAGAGCACCCCCCCCCCCCCCCACACACACACACACACACACAGGTTCCTAACCGATGACGAAGACTTGACAGAGCAGCCATCGAGTGTTAGACAGTATTCTAGGTTATTACGTGAGAAAGTTTTTTGTCCAATAATTAGAATCTGTTTTTTCAGAAGTAAGTAGTAGGAAATTACTAGTCATCCAGTTTTTTATATCAGCTATGCATTCCGTTAATTTTGTGAATTGGTAAGTTTCGTCAGGGCGTCAAGGAATATAGAGCTGAGTATCATCAGCATAACAGTGAAAACTAATGCCATGCTTCCTAATGATATCTCCTAATGGTAGCATGTACAGAGTGTGTGTGTGTGTGTGTGTGTAGCATGTACAGAGTGAACAGCAGCGGTCCTAGTACTGAGCCTTGTGGTACGCCATACTGAACTTGTGATCGATAAGACATCTCTTCATTTACTGCTACAAACTGATAACGGTCAGATAAGTGTGATTTAAACCATGCTAATGCAATCCCACTAATGCCAACATAATTTTCGAGTCTATTTAAAAGAATGTTGTGGTCGATAGTGTCAAATGCAGCACTAAGATCGAGTAACACTATAGAGAGATACAACCGCGATCGGATGATAAGAGCAGATCATGTGTGACTCTGATGAGAGCGGTCTCAGTGCTATGGTACGGTCTAAATCCGGACTGGGAATCCTCGCAGATATCATTTCTTTCTAAAAAGGAACATACTTGTGAGGATACTGCTTTTTCTAGTATCTTTGACAGAAAAGGCAGATTCGAGATCGGCCTGTAATTGACCAATTCTGTACGATCAAGTTGCGTTTTTTAAACAAGTGGTTTAATCATAGCCAGCTTAAAGGTTTTTGGTACGTATCCTAATGACAAAGATGAATTAATGACATTGAGAAGAGGATCTATGATCGGTATAGGGTCTAACATACATGTTGTCCATTTAGACGATTTAACAAGTTTACAAAATTCTTCCTCTCCTATAGTAATGAATGAATCTAATTTTTCCTCAGGGAGACTACAATGCACTGCCTGATGCGATACTGTAGTGGACGGTTGCATGGTTATAATTTTCTCCCTGATATTATCGATCTTATAAGTGAAGAAGTTCATAAAGTCATTACTGCTGTGCTGCTTGGACACTTCTGGGCTTGAAGCTTTATTTTTTGTTAGTTTAGCCACTGTTTCAAATAAATACCTCGGGTTTTGTTTATTTTCTTATAATAGGGTTGAAAAATAAGCAGATCTAGCAGCTTTTAAGGCCTCTCTGTAAGCAATCGAGCTCTCCTTCCAAGAAATGCGAAATACCTCTAGTTTAGTTTCTTCCAGTTGCGCTCCATTTTTCTGGCTGCTCTCTTAAGGGCCTGAGTGTGTGTGTGTGTGTGTGTGTGTGTGTGTGTGTGTGTGTGTGTGTGTGTGTGTGTGTGTGAGTGTGTGTGTGTGTGGCCTGGTAAACCCTACGTTATGGGGATATATCGGCAATATCCGAAATCCTTGTTCGTGTGGGGACATTTTTTGGTCCCCATGAGGAAATCAGCTTATAAATCATACTAAGTGATGTTGTTTGAAAATGTAAAAATGCAGAATGTTTCCTGTGATGGGTAGGTTTAGGGATAGGGTTAGTGTAAGGGAATAGAATATACAGTCTGTACAGTATAAAAATCATTATGTCTATGGAAAGTCCCCATAAAACATGAAAACACAACGTGTGTGTGAGTGTGTGTGTGTGTGAGTGTGCTCATTGTACCATGGCGTTGGACTATTTTCTTTAATCTTCTTTAAGCGCAACGGAGCAACTGTGTCTAAAGTGCTGGAAAAGAGAGAGTTAAAAGTTTCTGTCGCAATATCGAGTTCTTCTAAGCTATCCGGGATGCTGAGATGATGAAACTGATCAGGAAAAAAATTTGATTTCCATTACACGAGAGTAGATGTTAAAACTTCATGCTGATTTGTACTCGGCTTTCGCCAAGATAAGCAAAACTAAGACGTAGCTTTACAGTAAACTATGCTTCTCCAGCCATTCACGCTTCTTTCCATATGGTGGTGTGACTCCCCTTCTGTCCGGCGTTAACGGCTGCAGTGTACTTGGCGCGTCAGCGCACGCGACGGCTGCAACTACAGGACCAGCATGACAACCGTCTGGATTGAGCCGAGTAGGGGACATCTCTAGGGTCTTCAAGTGGGCACCTTCCGTCCTCAGTGTTTCGTCGACTAGCCCACGACACCTCAAGAGGGCTCGACAGTGACTCTGGCGTCCCAAAATCACCCCCCTCCGTCCCCCACTCAACTCAGCCCAGCCTACTGACCTCTACATCCCTCCTGCTGCTGAGACCTAACCACAATCTCACAATCTCTCCGCAACCCGACCATACGCGCCAACCCGTTTGACTAAGGCTGTCGAGCCCCACTGGTGCGTTAATAAGAAGATTATTAATAAAGCAATCTTTAGTGGCAGAAGTGATAGGTCTAACATATTTATAACACGGAGTCGGCTTTGCAGCCTTGGCTAAATGAAGTTTACACAAGACTAGATAATGATCTGAGATGTCATCGCTCTGCTGCAGAATTTCAACGGTATCAACATTGATTCCATGTGATAATAATATTAGATCTAGAGTATGATTACGACAATGAGTAGGTCCCGACACGTCTAACTCCAATAGAGTTAAGAATATCTTTAAATGCCAATCCCAATGCATCTTTTTCATTATCTACGTGTGTATTAAAATCACCAACAATTAGGACTTTATCTGCAGCCAGTACTAACTCTGACAGAAAGTCAGCAGATTCTTTGATAAAGTCTGTATGGTGTCCTGGTGGCCGGTATACAGTAGCCAGCATAAATCTCAGACGGGATTCATCATTTACACTAGATAGTGTTACATTAAGCACCAACACTTCAAAAGAATTCTATTTGAAACTAGACTTCTCAGTAATACTGAAAATATTACTATAAATTACAGCAACACCTCCCCCTTTGCTTTTCAGACGAGGCTCATGTTTATAACTGTAATCTTGTGGAGTGGACTCATTTAAAGTAATGTAATTGTCTGGTTTTAGCCAGGTTTCTGTCAAACACAGCACATCTAGGTTATAGTCTGAAATCATATCATTAACAGTAAGTGCTTTTGAAATAATGGATAATATATTCAGCGCTCATAAAGAACCTTTATTTCTAATGATGTTAAATGTTTTCCCAACTGGAAGTCTATATTTGTCACGCAGGAGGAAAATGATCACAAAGAAACTCGACACTGTCATTTGTCGAAGGAGGTAAATCTGATTTTCCATTCTGTCTCAGATAGACACACTTAATGATTATACAGTAAATTTCAGCGAGGTCTGAAGCACACAAGATGATTTTTGAGGATCTGGAGTATTTTGGAGCATTAAACTCTCTATAGACTCTCAGCATCTTGAAAACCAATAGTTCAGAATGGAAACAGAGCTAAGTGTTGCTGACGTTCTCCAGTTTCGGCTCTGCAGAGAAGACCATTTTTTCAATTAATACATCCTCATCATCATCATGCAGATGGTGACACTAAACGTTTCGTCAGCTCGCCTCATTAGCTGGACTTAACTAGCAGCCGTCGCTCCACAAGCGAATCTTGCGCAGGTGTTGTTGAGAGCGAGTAGAGTACGAGGAGGAGGAGGAGGAGGAGGAGGAGGGATATTCCAGACTCTGATGACTGTACCTTATGTGTAGTGTCAGTACTGAAGTCAATGTTGAAGAGCCTGTTTAACTTCACAGACACTGACCGACTGAGACGCCACAGTAAACACACAGCTGTGTGTGTGTGTGACCTACGACAACAAGAACTGAAGGTCAGATTCATATTTGTTTAGCAGAGACACAACTGAACGGCGATCCGATCGATGGATGTAAATCTCTCGACAGAACAACACTAGACTCAAACTTAAAATGATCGGAAGTCCTGGAAGACAAACAACATTTAACAATGACCAGTTCCGACATCATTTAACATCCAAAACATGCGTGATTCACAGTTTAGCACAATGTCCACGCTGCTTGTTTACATAAATTGAAAGTGGACAGAAATGAGGCCTAAACTTTAAGAATGACATAAATAGTAAATTCAAACGATACTGTAGAACATGTATTAGATCCATTTAGCATCACAAACACGACAGCTTTCATTAGTTTAAATGAGGGACAGTATTGTTTAAATTAAACATATTATTATTATTATTATTATTACAATGATTATTATCATTTAATGTTGTCCATTTTGTTGCTTGCATCATAGGCTAACTTGTTTATAGTTCCACTTCATTAAATTACCCTTCGAATTATAATTCCGTATCATGTTTGCAAAGTGATTTCAATTCAATTTCTCAATTCCGTTCTGAATGTTGCACAACCCTGTGCGTTCGCTGAGCAAAACAACTGTCAGGCTTTTGAGGTGGGAAACAATGAAATTCATCCAACAAACAGAGGCTGCCGTGAAGAAGCGGCACACGTTACATGAAGGTTTGTAGGGGGAATTCTGCTTTGTCCATTTTCAGAAGGCAAACACTGGAAGAACATCAAGAAACGACTGAAAGCGCTGGCTATCACTCCTCCGAGAGAACAGAAGACCGACAGTCCGACTTTACAAGACAAGGCCTGACGTTTCTTCTTCAGGCGCACCATATGCTGGAGCTCCTCTCATAAACCAGTGGAAAACCTGGAAGAAAAACAGGAGCTCTGAATGGAGAAAAGAGTGGATGTTCTGACAATGTCTCAATTCTGACTGAGCGCCAATCATTGGATCAATCAATTCATTTGGAAATATACTAATAACCCATAACATCTCTTTTAAACATGTTTGTCCCTGTTTCAGGGTTAAACACTTCACAGCTGGAGGTCAGTTACAAGCAATATAATGAGCAATAACAGCATTAACTAGAAAAACATCCTTACACAACGCCAGATTGTTGCAAAACAAGAAACAAGAAAAAGCTCAGAAGCAAAGACAATCTAAAAAATGCATTAATGTCTATATATGCTTCATAAACATCTGATCTGATATTTACTTCAGCAAAAGCAACATTCAGAACTTGCTAATTAACTGAAATACTGATGAAAAAGACATTTATTTTGCATTGCAACATTGTTTATTTGACACTAAACCGCCAGATCTGTCATGTAACGTGACTTGCTTCAGTATATCTGGGAAAAAGTCATCATGAACGAGGGATGTTGATGTTCTCTATGGTCAGACAAACACAGAGAAACATTCACAACCTAAAAGGCCACCATTGTGTCTGAGAAATGCGTCAAAGCTGGAGAATAACATAACCGGGGAAAAATCCCAGCAATGCGGACAGAGGGAGTGAGAGAACGAGAGACTCGGAGGTAGAAAGCTGCTCAGAGCGACGGAGCGAGAGAAAAGTGTGACTCTTGATCTGGAAGTGAACTTAATAATGGTGAGACGAGACATGAACAAGCACAACTATGACAAACACATTATATAAAAAATATTACACTATCATTGAATGCTGCCACTGACCAATCAGAATCAATTATTCAAGAGAACAATCTAATTAATATAATAAATAATGTAATTATTATTGGTAAGCACAATGTGTTGACTTTATCATGGTTTCCATAGGAACTAGTGTACATGAACCCGTGAGAGTCAAATAGCGAGTTTATTAAAGCTTGATTCTTCCTTTTGCTGCAATAAAGTGTTTCTGACCCACGGACATTCATTCTGAGAGAGAACTGGCCTTTTCCTGACAGAACAGAGTGTGTCCGAGGTCACGTTCACATCACCAGTCAGTCTGGTGTTGTTCCATGAGGCCGTTCATGAGACACACTACAGATCACTATATATCCATACATCACACACTATATATCCATAAATCACACACTATATATCCATACATCACACACTATATATCCATACATCCCACACTATATATCCATAAATCACACACTATATATCCATACATCACACACTATATATCCATACATCCCACACACACTATATATCCATACATCACACACTATATATCCATAAATCACACACTATATATCCATACATCACACACTATATATCCATACATCACACACTATATATCCATACATCACACACTATATATCCATACATCACACACTATATATCCATACATCACACACTATATATCCATACATCACACACTATATATCCATACATCCCACACACACTATATATCCATACATCACACCATACATCACACACTATATATCCATACATCCCACACACACTATATATCCATACATCACACACACACTATATATCCATACATCACACACACTATATATCCATACATCCCACACACACTATATATCCATACATCCCACACACACTATATATCCATACATCACACACACACTATATATCCATACATCACACACACTATATATCCATACATCACACACACACACTATATATCCATACATCACACACACACACTATATATCCATACATCACACACACTATATATCCATACATCACACACACACACTATATATCCATACATCACACACACACACTATATATCCATACATCACACACACACACACTATATATCCATACATCACACCATACATCACACACTATATATCCATACATCCCACACACACTATATATCCATACATCACACACACACTATATATCCATACATCACACACACTATATATCCATACATCCCACACACACTATATATCCATACATCACACACACACTATATATCCATACATCACACACACTATATATCCATACATCACACACACACACTATATATCCATACATCACACACACACACTATATATCCATACATCACACACACACTATATATCCATACATCACAATCTATATATTCATACATCCCACACTATATATCCATACATCACACACACACTATATATCCATACATCACACACACACTATATATCCATACATCACACACACACTATATATCCATTCATCACACACACTATATATCCATACATCACACACACACACTATATATCCATACATCACACACACACTATATATCCATACATCACACACACACTATATATCCATACATCACACACACTATATATCCATACATCATACACTATATATCCATACACTATATATCCATACATCACACACTATATATTCATACATCCCACACTATATATCCATACATCACACACTATATATCCATACATCACACACACACTATATATCCATACATCACACACACACTACACTCACCTAAAGGATTATTAGGAACACCATACTAATACTGTGTTTGACCCACTTTCGCCTTCAGAACTGCCTTAATTCTACGTGGCATTGATTCAACAAGTTGCTGAAAGCATTCTTTAGAAATGTTGGCCCATATTGATAGGATAGCATCTTGCAGTTGATGGAGATTTGTGGGATGCACATCCAGGGCACGAAGCTCCCGTTCCACCACATCCCAAAGATGCTCTATTGGGTTGAGATCTGGAGACTGTGGGGGCCATTTTAGTACAGGGAACTCATTGTCATGTTCAAGAAACCAATTTGAAATGATTCCAGCTTTGTGACATAGTGCATTATCCTGCTGGAAGTAGCCATCAGAGGATGGGTACATGGTGGCCATAAAGGGATGGACATGGTCAGAAACAATGCTCAGGTAGGCCGTGGCATTTAAACGATACCCAATTGGCACTAAGGGGCCTAAAGTGTGCCAAGAAAACATCCCCCACACCATTACACCACCACCACCAGCCTGCACAGTGGTAACAAGGCATGATGGATCCATGTTCTCATTCTGTTTACGCCAAATTCTGACTCTACCATCTGAATGTCTCAACAGAAATCGAGACACATCAGACCAGGCAACATTTTTCCAGTCTTCAACTGTCCAATTTTGGTGAGCTCTTGCAAATTGTAGCCTCTTTTTCCTATTTGTAGTGGTACCCGGTGGGGTCTTCTGCTGTTGTAGCCCATCCGCCTCAAGGTTGTGCGTGTTGTGGCTTCACAAATGCTTTGCTGCATACCTCGGTTGTAACGAGTGGTTATTTCAGTCAAAGTTGCTCTTCTATCAGCTTGAATCAGTCGGCCCATTCTCCTCTGACCTCTAGCATCAACAAGGCATTTTCGCCCACAGGACTGCCGCATACTGGATGTTTTTCCCTTTTCACACCATTCTTTGTAAACCCTAGAAATGGTTGTGTGTGAAAATCCCAGTAACTGAGCAGATTGTGAAATACTCAGACCGGCCTGTCTGGCACCAACAACCATGCCACGCTCAAAATTGCTTAAATCACTTTTCTTTCCCATTCTGACATTCAGTTTGGAGTTCAGGAGATTGTCTTGACCAGGACCACACCCCTAAATGCATTGAAGCAACTGCCATGTGATTGGTTGATTAGATAATTGCATTAATGAGAAATTGAACAGGTGTTCCTAATAATCCTTTAGGTGAGTGTATATCCATACATCACACACACACTATATATCCATACATCACACACACACTATATATCCATACATCACACATTATATATCCATACATCACACACTATATATCTATACATCACACACTGTATACCCATATATCAAACACTATATATCCATATATCACACTCTCTGTGAAACATAAAAAATGAAGTGTCACAACATTTGAGAATGTGCATAGACACTGTATGTTTTTTTTTTTCATTTTCCATGTAATTTAGTATAATGAAACTCATTGAGTAGATGACAGACACTTAAAGGGTTAGTTCACGAGAGCATCACAACATGCATGTTGATGGCGCTAGAGCAGACGTTGTATGAACGCGCATTGGAGATGAATATTTTGTAAATAAAGTGGTAAATTATGTTTTTTTGTGTGCGAATAAAACACTGGCGTCGCTTCATAAAACAAAGGTTAAACCCCTGGAGTCACATGCATTATTTTGATGATGTCTTTACTACCGTTTGGGGCTTGAAAGTGGTCATTGCGTAGACTGTCAATGGAAGAACAGAAAACTATAGATTTCATCAGAAAGATGACCAAAAGTATTACAGGTTTGGAACCACATCAGGGTAAATGGTAAAATGGTAAATGGACTGCATTTATATAGCGCTTTCACAGACCCAATGGCCACCAAAGCGCTTTACATTGCCTCACATTCACCCATTCATACAGTCATTCATACACCGACGGCGGTGTCAGCCATGCAAGGCGCCATCCAGCTCGTCGGGATAGGTGTCTATAGGGTGAATATTTAATGACAGGATTAATTAACTAACCCTTTAAGTCACACAACAAATCAATCAAATACGTATCTGATTTGTTATGTGGTCTACTCTAGACCACAAGGGAATATCACAGAATCAATTTGGCATTTCATGTTCACAATGTCATCCAGAAAATATATCAATGAGGCAAAAACAAAAAGAAGAAAAAAAATCAGATTCATGTCAAACCCAGTTCTCAAAAACAACCATTATCCAATAGAAAGACAGGGATCATGTCGTACCTTGTGCAGAAGAGGTTAAATGATTATAAATGATTTGTGTAAAGCTCAGAACGGTTCCTGTGCTGGACCGAGAGCCGCTTCAGACAGTGTTGTGTGTCTGTGTTAGATTAGCAATGCATATTTCGCAGCAGCTGTAAAATCCATGAGTGCAGAACATCTGGCCCTGGAGGGAAGCCCTTTATAGGGGACATGAGTCTCGAACCCAGCTGGCAGATCCATCCGGTCCAGGTGTGAGCATTTCAGACCAGCTTCTGGTTCGGACCTTTCACCTGAGACTCAACACAAGCACAGAGTTGAATTACTGCTAACAACTTAATTCATTAACATACAAACTCTAACGACAGTCACTCAGTGTTCAAGCTTTGTCCATT